GGGTAAAAAGGGGCCGCCACACAACACAGACAGACACGTTGACAGCAAACACAAACATAGCAAAACAAATGGTTCACGCCTACCTCTTTAGATTGCCATTCAAACGCACTCCACAACTCTGTGAACAGTTCTCTCTATCTTCTATAGAGGGAAGAACCTACCAGCTGCCGTCGTCTCGCCTCGCCTATAAATAGGACCTTTCACTCGGGAACAATGAGAAGGGCTCCTCTTTTCTCCGGCCCCGCCACGTTTTGGTTTCAATCGCAATAGATCAGTAGCAAACAACACTCCAAAAAAAAAAAAAAAAAAAAAAAAAAAAAAAAAAGTGATGGCGGCTTATACTGCGAAACCAGGAGGAAAAGACCAAAGAAAACAAGAACAAAGGAAGGAAATGGGGGCACTGTAGGGTTGAATTTAAGCAGAGTTGTCTGCCAATTGAAGGGGGGAAATTTTGGTTGAAGATATCAGAAACAGTAGCTAAAAAAACAGCAGTGCCTTAAAACTAGTACATGGTACCTCTACTTACAAAATTAATTGGTTCCGGAAGAAATTTCTTCATTAGAAAATTTTGTAAATTGAGGCGTTTTCCATGTAAATGCCCTAATACGAGCCCCCCACCCCCCAAAAAAATTCTGACATAAATGTTTACTAAAGCATAATAATGCATTGAAATATGTAACAGATACATGTTTCAATTTTATTGTTGCACAATAAATGAGAGTTGTGCATAATGTAAAAAACAAAGAATAAAGAGGGAAAAATTATGGTCATTTAACTTTTAACTACATCCTCACCGTTTTTTTTTCGCCCTCTTTAGTTCATGTTCTCTCTCAGAAGTGGTTTTTGCTTTGCGTTTTGTAAAGAACTGTTTGCTTTTGTTGGCTTTTCACAATCCTTCGAAAATGTCCAAGGCAAGCATCAGCATAGTAAGCCATCGCCTGACTGGTGAGCAGTTTTTCTGAGTTCATATCACATTTACGCAAAACTATGGGAACGCCTCATGGCCCCAGGGGCGAAATGACGAGGATGCTGATAGATACGTCTTTCTATCCACACACATCGACACATACAAGCCATCGCCTGACTGGTGAGCAGTTTTTCTGAGGGTGATTCATATTTACGTAAAACTATCGGAACGCCTCATGGCCCCAGGGGTGAAATGACGAGGATGCTGACAGATACGTCTTTCTATCCACACACATCGACACATACGGTAGAGGTCCCTCTTAGCCAATGGGATGCCAGGAAGATGCTCGAGAATAGCCAATGGCAGAGCAGCTATAAGTACCGTATTGGCCCGAATATAAGACGGATTTTTGGATTGAAATAAGACTGAAAAAGTGGGGGTCGTGACATTATACCCATTCACGACGCTATATGCCGCCAGATATCATTGAAGCGAATGCTGAACTTGACTCCCATGGCCAAAGTGAACCCCTGTCATGAAGAATAAAAATAAAAAATAGCGGTAAGAAAGAAAAGAGAAGAAAATAATAGAAGAGATAACAGAAAATGAAGAAACGTAGCGACAATCTGGAGAAAAGTGGGTTGAAGATCAGACAGGCTAACCGGCAGCTGAGGAGAAGTTATGATGCAATTTACATTTCAAAAACCAGAAGCCATTTATTTACGAATGTGATTGCACTTTAGATTACATTTTTAAATGTTCAGATATTAAGATTTGAATGAGGCAAAATAAATTTTTTATCTCTCAAATATCTTGTTATAATCATTTGTTTCAGACGAACTGTAATTATTTTCTGTATAAAAATTAATTTGGTGTTCAAAAAGTCTTTTTTCAAACTTGAGTCTTGAAAAAGAGGGGGTCGTCTTACAATCAGGGCCGTCTTATATTCAGGGCAATACGGTACGTTCAGGAAACTCGGAATTGCGAGTAATGGCCCATATTGTATTTTTACCTTGCGTATCGAGGAAATGTATTTCATAACAAGAGGCAATATTTTCCTGTTGAGACGTTTCATAACTTGAAAATTTCGTATGAAGAGACGTTCATAAGTCGAGGTACCACTGGATATCGTCGCTGTCCTGTAAAATGACGCGTGATTCAAAAATTTTCTTGACCTAGTGCAGTATAGTTAGCTTGCATTTAGCTTTTTTATACAATCCTTCTGTTTTTTTTTTTTTTTTTTTACACTTTGGAATTGTGCTCAAGCATACATTTTGGTCAGAATATTTTCCAATGAAACTTTCAAACGCAGTACGTGTACTTGAATCATTGAAGTACATTTTTTTTTAAGTGTGCTAATGTTCAAACTCGGCATCGTGTTCCAGCTGCTTACGATAATACGACTTTGATGGACTATTGGCATGAAAACCATATGCGCTACTGTATTTTAATGTTGTGGTGATGGTGGTACTAGAGCTCAGGAATTACCAAGTACTTACGTTGGTACTTGGTTGAAAAGGTTGGAAAACCACTGACAGAGACGGTTTAACAAGCCCCACCCCACCAAAAAAATGGTCAGTCAGCAATAAGCGACAATGTGGGCGTGAGGCGTCTTTCGCTTGGTCAAGTTTGAAGTCCCATTTCAGGTGGATACATTTCCATGCTGTCCTTTCTGTTGCCCAGTGGGAGGAAGGTGTGGGACTTTGCTTTGCTCCCCCCCACCCCCCACCCCACTCCCACACACTGCGCCATAGAAACGGACCACAAATGGAGCCTTGTTGACTACCCATTCATGGTCCCGCAATCAGCGGATTTACACTTTGATGTGGAGCCGGGGAATAAAGCCCTTTTCGAGCGCTGACCTTTATCGACTGACGGATTAAAATCCATAGCCCTCTCTCTCTCTCTCTCTCGCTAACTCTCTCTCTCTCACTCTTTCTCTGGAAAACTACATATCTTAGTTACAGTCCTCCTCGCTCTTGCCGCTGAGGCATTTCTAAAGCCAGTGTTTTTTTTTCTTCCCCCCGCCCTCAACTCTCTGATCTCACCCCAACTTTTTGTGCCTGGCTGCTAGCGTGGAACATTTTCCTTGACAGGAAACCGTGTTATTCCGCCTTCCCTGAATGTGCAGATAACTAACACTTCTCCCAACGAGGAACAAAGTGTTCTCACTTGGCACCAATAGAACACCCAAAATTTTCACGGGCATTTTATTTCTTTGGTGTACAGGTGGGAGCTGCTGGGGTTGAGTTGCTGACTTTCCACTTCTTTTCATGCTCCCTGTAGCCTGATAACACGGTAAGCTGTCCACTGTAGTAACCGCTGTCCCTGAAAGGGTTAAAGATGTTTGTCACTCATAGTTGAAGTTCAACTAGAAATCAATGGAAACGAAACAAATGACGATGAAATATGTACAGTGCATTCGGAAAGTATTTACAGCAGATTCTCAACTCAACTCAAATTAATAACAAAGACAGTAGAAAGGACAAAAACAGTAAAACTAAAAAAAATAAATAAAAAATCAAGTCTCATGCTGAGTCAGAAGCCAAAGAATACAAATGAGTTTTGAGACGAGTTTTAAAGATGGGCAGTGAGAGGGGGTTTGCCGACCGTTCAGTGGGAGGTTATTCCAAAGAGAGGCACCGGCAACGAAAAAGACTCGATCCTCTCTGAGCCTCCGCTTAGTTCTTCGTACCTCTAATAATATCTGGAAAGCATCTTAAAAACAACTCTAAAATGTATTGGCCGCCAGTAAAGGCATGCCAGAATAGGACTAATGTGCTTCCTCTTGCGAGTACCAGTCAAGAGGCGAGCAGCAGCATTTTGGACCAACTGGAGACGCTTAAATGGAGGATTGGCTGACTCCAAAGTAAAGTGCATGACAGAAATCTAGCCGGGATGTGATGAAAGCATGGATTACTGTTTCAAGGTGACAATGTGATTTTTTTTTTTTTAATTTCTAACAAATATATAGACATCATATGTACGTACTGAAAATATTCACACCCTTTGTTCCGTACTTTGCAATGTACCTTTCGCATTAATCACTGCCTCAAGTATTTTGTTTTTAAATATGCGACAAGCTTTGCTCACCCATCTTTGGGCAAGGACGTTCACAGAGTTGTCCCAAAGCCACTCCTTCAATGTCTTGGCTGCGTGGTTAAGCTCATTGTTCTGTTGGAAGGTAAACCTTTGCCCCAGTCTGAGGTCCTGACCACCCTTGAGATGGTTTTCATCCGGGATGCCTCTGTACATTGCTACATGTGTCTTTCGGTCAATCCTGATTAGTTTCCCGAGTTGCTTACACTGAAAATCATCACAATTTCATGATGCTGCCACCACCATGCTTCACTCGAGACAAGACACCAGAGTTCCATCTTTGTCTCATCAGACCAGAGGACAATCCTTGCTTGATCCAAACATAAAGCAACTAGCTTAATGCTAACATTTAATACAAACAATAGAAGTCAGCCTTGAAACTGGGGTAATTTTAGACCATCTAACAAATGTTACTTATACAGAAACATGTCACTAACATCTACAAATAGAACTTCCAACACAGGCATACACTCTCACTTCTTTTTAGAAACGATTAGAACTTGAAGACGTCTTGCGTCAAGCTCGTGGTTGACATCTATTGTCAATCGACGCATAAACAAAAAAGGATGAAACATCACATCTTTAAGAACCAAAAATTTTCTATCGAGGTGTGGAAACAGCATTTAGTGATAGTCGACTTGTTTTGACATCGATCAACTCCACCTGGCTCGCTACTGCCACCGTCAGGCTATGTTGTGCACACCAGAGGGGGCAGTACGAGTCGTGTGGACAATTTGCGGTAGCGTTGAAGTGGAAAACATGTACTTGACAAGAAGTCATGTTTGCGCCATCTTGAAAAACCGCCTTGCCTGCCAACGTCTATTATTCCCGTATTGTTTTACAGCGTCCCCGATGCCCACTTGAACACGTCTCTTCCGTCTGCTCTTCTCCCCGAGGTGCCGGCTTGAAGCAAATAAACAAGATCCATCGCTTCTCGACCTGACTGGATTTGATAGCCTCTCCATTCTGCTTCGTCAGAGACACACGGCAACATACAAGAACACTTGGCGGGCCCCGAGTCGTGTTCAACGGCAGAACTGGCAGCCTGGATGCAGTGGTGCATTTTAAAAATCTCACATCCACTTAATGCAGCCCGGTGCTTTCGAAAGGCCCACCTGAGAATTGCGAGGCCGCCCGCTGAGAGTCAACCATCAGCATTAGCGAACATTACCACTGTGCAAGCAAAAAAAAAAAAATCACTCAGGCTATTTCCCCGTAGAAAATGCAGAGGCTACAAGCCTTTCCCAGAGCTCTTCTAAGTGCAACGAGACTTTGAGTCTTCTTTTACAACCGCCATCGTCGGCCCAAAAGACCTATTTGACCCGCTGGTACGCCTGGTTCCATTCAAGCAATTACTCCCCTGTTACCGCCAGCCTCTGTTAAAGAGTCGTTAATTTGTTCACTAAACAATCAGGGTTTTTAGCGCGCTAACTGTGAGTTGAAACAGCTTCGGTGCCGTAATAGATGGCAAGACCTTTTGTTTTGCAAAACAATGACATCACAGCGAAACAAGGAAACAAGGCCCCCGCGTGTGCAACGATGACAAGAGAATTGTGCCTTCGGGCAGAAAACATTGGACACGCTGGAGATTGCAGCGGGGGAATTTTCAAGTTGATGAGCATAAAGTACATGGTCCATTCTGACAAATGGGGAGAAAACAACAAGGTGCACTGAGAGAGAGCGAGAAAAAAAAAACAGTTCAATAAAATATTAATGGGATATATTTACCGACAAGCTTTTGTAACCATCGGCGTTCTTCGGGGACCTTTGAGTTGAGAGCGCTGGAGCTCGACCGACAACCCTTGCTGCTGCAGTACATGCACATACCAGACATAGAAACACACTCATGAGCTGCCTTGTTTAATTTATGTAGGCAAGAATGGCTCATTCTTGTACTTCCGGAAAACACCGTGAACTTGTCTTGCTGTTTTGTTTTGTTTTGTTTTTTTTGGGGGGGCTGGGGCGGGGTTAAACCAGGCCGCACACACAATATCGAACGCCTTAAATAATTTTTATAGCAACACTAAATCAACAAACTGCGCACATAACAATATCTATTGACCTGTGAGAGCACGGAAATACAGAAAATACAACAACAAAAAAAATTATAATAAATAGAGTGATAAGTTAAAAAGAAATTGAAGGAGCTAGCTAATGGTTCGCTTGTTTGGTCTTCCTCTGATCATTGAGACGATATGGCTTTGGAGATACATTATGTACCCACGCAACAAAACCAGCTGCTCTTCCATTCTTTTTTGTTTTTTTATTTATTTTTTTATTTCATTGGAACAGTGCACATTAATCAACACAAGAATAAACAGTGTAAATGCGCCGGAGTTAGCATAAATGCTAGTTTTCAGCCGAAGTCCCAAGGCAGGTTTCCAAAATAGCACAGTGAGACACATAAAACTTTAAGACCACAATGACAATATATAAAAACCAAATAGGTAAGACATCATGAAAGAAACAATACAAAGAGTTGCGGTACTCAATTACAAGACAAAAGACCGGGCACTGACAAATCACTTCGATTCTTGAGGATTTGCAGTCGTGGATGTTAAAACAGGTTTAATATTTCCGATTGTCAGAGTCATGAAATGAATTATCGGCCACCTCATTCACGGAGACGACATATCGTCCGTGTGTACCTAAGAATTTGTGACTCTTGATATTTAACAGATTAAACGTTTGCAATTGATAGCCCTGAACATTTTGTAACCATGTCGCGGAAGAAAAAAAAAATCTGTCTTGGCGTATCCAACATCACTGAATAATTGCTCAGGATAATCTTTCAGAGAGAGCCAAGAATTTGGCCTTTCCTGACTTTGATACTGCTTAAAAAAAAAAAAAAGCCCAAACCTCTATAATTTCACTGCATCGCAAAACTGCCAATAGTCAAGACCGTCAGTTCATCAGTATCAATCCAACAGTGACAAGGTTGGGTCCCCTGTGTCCCATTCCTGTCTGCTCCGCTTTTTCACATGTCCCGGAAAACTTTGTTTACCTAATTCTCGCAGCATATTTCTTTGCCACAGGAGGCTGGTTATGACAAATTAGAAAGTCTGCAAATGTTCTGATGGTGCAAAGGCCCCAGCTGTCACCAGGGAGATGGTGATCGGGTTTCCGAGCCGCATGGTCTCTTGGCGCCACAAAGAGTTCCATATGGTCATCCAAATGCTTGCACCGAAATCTGCTCCCATTCTCCACCCGGGAGCTGAGCCCCTTCCACCGAATTAGTCACAAGGCTTCTGGAGCAACTCAATTGATGGGTCGTGATTTTAAGGAGGTTCGCCACTATTCAGTTGAGGTTTTATTGTCTTTATTTTTGCTCACCGTGCAGATAAATGACTTTACGGTCTAAGTGTCAGGCTTTCTGCAGGTTTAAGATTACCAATTTGAAGTCATTTAAAACCCTTTTTAACATTACTTCAATTCGCACCTCTCACTTAATATGTCCGACACTCAGGGTGGGTTGGATTTTGAGATTGTCTTTTTTTTTTTTTTTACATACTGTAGGCTATTATTCTATAGTACTTGTTCAGGGAAAGAATATCTCAAACAAATACTTGACGAGAGTTTCTTGTTGCACAGTTTACTATTTTTGCAAAGACGTCAGACAGGGTGACAGGCAGCATCTTGAAGCTCTGGGCCAAGATGGAGTTTCAGACTTTTACAGCTTCCTTGCAGTAAATCAGTGGTCCCCAACCCCCGGGCCGCGGGCCGGTACCGGTCCGTGGGTCATTTGGTACTGGGCTGCACAAAAAGAATAAATAACTTTCATTGCTTGCGTTTGATTTATTTCATGCTCTGAAAGATGTTTTATTTTGAAAGATTGCCAGATTCTCTGTTACATCCGTCGACAGTATCTCACTCTTGACGCAGGTCAAGGCGCGCTTCTCGGTCACGTGATAGGTTACTGCGAAAATGAAACCCAGGAGCTAGCAAAATGAGTAAAAAACAAAGGTCCTTGGTAAGTTTTTTTGGGGAAGGGGAAAAGGCCTGGCCAGGACACAGAAGAGAAGTGTATGGTTATCACTACGTGTTGGATACGCTGGGTCTGTTAACGCAAATCAACAGCAAACCAAACTCAATCTTCATGAGCCAGGAAACGGAGCGTCTTGCTCCTTTATTACGGTAGTCTTCACAGCTCACAGTGGGCAACTGTGACATCAGCTCGATGAAAAATTTTAAACATGCACTCGCTTCTTGTAACCAAATAAATACAACAGAAATTGTCCAGTGCCAAACAACCGACATAAATGCAGCTCTAAGTGTGCTAATGATAAACAAAGCATTTTTGCAATCGGTTCGCATGCTAATTAGCTTGTTAACACTAACTTAGCGACATTGCCACGTTTGTACACGGTGCTCCGAGCTAGCAAGTTTCAGGGACAACACGAAAATGATCTCCGAAACAGATTTCTAAATACCTCTACACGCAATCAAACTTACAGCCATTACTTTTGAAGGTGGACAGAAAAGAAATGTAACACAGGAGGACCAGTTACATTGACCACAGTCAGGCTTTCTGCAGCGACTCCTCTGACGAAACACGACATCTGCTACCCACCCAATGCATTGCGATTGCTAACTACGTTTTCGGAATAAAATCCAGGTAAGTAACGCTGACAAGATGGAAAATATTTTACACACAATTAGCCTTTTGCATGGAAAAGCACGAATTAAGACGTTTCAATAAAGTAAATGTAATGAACCCCTTTTTTTCTTTTAACCTTTATGAAGCGCCTTTGAAACTTTTACTGTGGGCAGAAGAGGAGCCTACGACCTTCAAGTATCAGGAGTCCTACTTAAAATTTGGATTCCCACGCACCAAGCCCACTCTGCATAATACGCGGCGATGGTGACTCGTATTTCTCATGCACTTTGTATCTTATTTTGAAGGCACGTTTATGCTGTCATCTACTGTCATCGTGTCCTTTTACGTAACTCATTTTGACAGCCTTTAACACCTCGAGGGCAGCCAGACACAGAGAATTCCAATTACCGATAATGGTATTTTGATGATGTCTGCTTAACTTATGCTACTGTCAAAATGCAGCTGTACAAATATGAATGAAGGATGACATTGTTACAAAATGTAATAATAGAATATAAAAATAAATAAAGTGTAATAATAATTATAATAATACATTTTCTTTGTGTCACGCTTGAAAAAAAACACTTTACACGGTAAAAGACTATTTAAAAAAATTAATTAGGCATGTAACAAAATCAAAAAATAACAAAATCGTAATTTTAAAAACTATATGGCTGCAACGGTGTGTTTAAAAAAAAAAAAAAAAAAAAAGGGACATGAGTGCCGTTTTAAAAGAGGGGAGTGTGTGAGTGTGTCTGAGGTGTTGAGGGAGAGAGGTCCAGAGGGAGGGGGGCGACTTTGTCTCCCCAGGTCTGGTGCCTGGTTTGGATGGAGGGGTGAGGAAGTTGGCATGGGCAGATCTAAGATTGCAGGTGGGGGTGTGATGGTGAAGGAGGTCAGTGAGGTAGGAGGGGGCGAGGTTGTAAAGGGTGATGAGAAGTATTTTAAACTGGATTCGGTGTTGGATGGGGAGCCGAGAGTGTGGGTGTTGGAGGATTGGGGTGATGTGGTCTCTGGTGTGGGAGTGGGTGAAGAGATGGACAGCAGAATTTTGGATGTATTGAAGTTTGTTGAGGGTTTAGGTGGGTAAGCCGTAGATGATGCTAAGGCAGTAGTCGAGTCGTGAGGTGATAAAGGCGTGAATCCGTGTTTCAGAAGCTGAGGGGAGAGAGAGAGAGGGGCGAATTTCTTCACAGGAATGAGATGTATGATCGAATTAATGTTCATTTATGCTGCAGGATATTAACCTGAACGAAATACAGATTCTCTGTTACATCCGTCGACAGTATCTCACTCTTGACGCAGGTCAAGGCGCGCTTCTCGGTCACGTGATAGGTTACTGCGAAAATGAAACCCAGGAGCTAGCAAAATGAGTAAAAAACAAAGGTCCTTGGTAAGTTTTTTTGGGGAAGGGGAAAAGGCCTGGCCAGGACACAGAAGAGAAGTGTATGGTTATCACTACGTGTTGGATACGCTGGGTCTGTTAACGCAAATCAACAGCAAACCAAACTCAATCTTCATGAGCCAGGAAACGGAGCGTCTTGCTCCTTTATTACGGTAGTCTTCACAGCTCACAGTGGGCAACTGTGACATCAGCTCGATGAAAAATTTTAAACATGCACTCGCTTCTTGTAACCAAATAAATACAACAGAAATTGTCCAGTGCCAAACAACCGACATAAATGCAGCTCTAAGTGTGCTAATGATAAACAAAGCATTTTTGCAATCGGTTCGCATGCTAATTAGCTTGTTAACACTAACTTAGCGACATTGCCACGTTTGTACACGGTGCTCCGAGCTAGCAAGTTTCAGGGACAACACGAAAATGATCTCCGAAACAGATTTCTAAATACCTCTACACGCAATCAAACTTACAGCCATTACTTTTGAAGGTGGACAGAAAAGAAATGTAACACAGGAGGACCAGTTACATTGACCACAGTCAGGCTTTCTGCAGCGACTCCTCTGACGAAACACGACATCTGCTACCCACCCAATGCATTGCGATTGCTAACTACGTTTTCGGAATAAAATCCAGGTAAGTAACGCTGACAAGATGGAAAATATTTTACACACAATTAGCCTTTTGCATGGAAAAGCACGAATTAAGACGTTTCAATAAAGTAAATGTAATGAACCCCTTTTTTTCTTTTAACCTTTATGAAGCGCCTTTGAAACTTTTACTGTGGGCAGAAGAGGAGCCTACGACCTTCAAGTATCAGGAGTCCTACTTAAAATTTGGATTCCCACGCACCAAGCCCACTCTGCATAATACGCGGCGATGGTGACTCGTATTTCTCATGCACTTTGTATCTTATTTTGAAGGCACGTTTAAACGTTACCATAGCAACCAGAGAGTGTTGGCCAGATGGGATGTTCCTCGTGTCATGATTAGGGTTTATTATTATTTTTCGAAAACACCACAGGTTTCATGCAGATCATATCATATTATTGTGTTG